GGTTTATGTAAAAAAAAAGTATATTCAGTCAATATGTCAACCTTTTGTGCTGATGGCCTCATACCAGCTCGATTTTTGTGCCTTGTAGCTCATTTTATTATGCTCGTCATGGCCTTAAATCACAGGGTAAGATTTGTATTAATTTTTTTATTATTTAAACAATATTAGTTTATTTTCGTATAGAAATAAACAAGGCCGGTTTAAATATAGAATTAAGATCATAACTAACTTTTATAATGATATTAAATGATACTAAAAAATTATATTATCATTTTTTCTTTATTTATTTTAATTACTATTAGTTTTCTTTTTTTTTTTATTAATGATCAAATATTATAGCACGACAATTATACAAAACTAAATAAATATAAATATATAATATTATTACTCACTATATGAACTTGAATCCAAACACAACGATAAAACAATTATTAAATTATTAATTTCTATTATGTTAAACATATAAACATCATCATTAATTGTATAGTTTTCGCTATACATCATTAAATATTAGACTATTACGCAGTTTCTTTTGAATATTATTTCCATTTGTTTTACCTAATACCTCGAGTTGTAAATTTTGTTATAAGCATAAGTACTCTTGTGTTTTATCAGTCAGCGCGCGTGAGCTCTTTATTACAAGTGCACCCAGAAGAGTTCTTATCACGTATAACACTGTGTATTATAATATTACACTTTAAATGCGATTGAATTATGTTTAATTAAGTTCATATTAAATGTATTAGTTATAATTGCATTCAAATTATAAGATCATATCAAATAGGAATAGTAATAACATTTGTTTTATCAGTCAACTATCGATTCTGTAACAACGCTACTACCGGAGTCTGCATTGATTTAAATAATACTGTTAGTTGTTAATGATCTGTTAAATCTGTTGGTTCCTAATATTAGTTACAATTTTTTTACTTTTAACAGTCATATCGGTCTAATTTTTGTCTTTTTAATGTTTAAATAAGCATGAAATAGTATAGTTTTTTTTTTATAACTGTGCATACACTGAACATTTTTGTAAATTTAATTAATTGCAATTAGGAACAAAACGTTAAAGCCTGCCTTCCTTATGATTACGACAAAGATCTGTACATGGATCAAGATAAAAGGTAATTTATTTAACTGATGCACATTTTGCAATTTTAAAGCTTTATCATTCGAACACAATACACGCAATCACTTAATATGTGTACACTATAGTAAAATACAGGGCTGTTCTTTGGGTAGAGGCGGGGTCGACGCTGGCTATTTAATTTTGTTGGTACCTCATTGGCATTAATTCTCAATTTTTTAATTATAAAAAGTTTTAAACTCGAATTTTTAGTGAGCAAGTCATAGTTATAAAAAAAACATGGTGGTAAAGTATAGCTTGTTTAGATTCAGCTTCTTTTATTCAAAAACTGAAATGGCGCCCCTAGAAAATGTCACTTAAATGCCAAGTTGTATGTATGTACGTTGAAGACTTAATGAATTGTAGACATTTAGACTTCAGTAGTTCCTTAAACATAATTTAGTAGTCCGTGATATCGGTGTATTAAATTCATCAATTTTGATTGCATCCTAATATACTCATGTTATTAAACCTTGCTTTATTATAAGTTCAATGACATTCTAAAAGATAAAACAGATTTATAGTTAGATATACATAATAATTATTATACAACTCCTGGCTTTCATTATTATATATTCAAAAAATAAGATATATTATAAAAATATAAATTGTATTATCATAAAAAGCATAACATCTAAGTATTTGTGCGTTTTTATCGTAAATTCATAATTTGAAAATCCGTTTTAAAATTAAATCAATCACGCGTTAGGTTTAACTTCCTTATAATGTATTGAATATTAAATACAAGTCTTTTTCAAAACTATTATTTTAAAAATATACTATTAGTATTCAGACAATGATGTGCGCCGATGACAGGTTAACGATGACCTATGTCTAAATATGGTTCAAGTTATCCGACGTAGGAGGTTTAGATGAATTGATTATTCCTGGAAATGAAACTTGGCGAATAAATAGAGTAACCCCAAGGTTCCGGAATAACTTTAATGTACCGATGTGTAATCAACATTTAAAAAAAAAAATACTTCCTAAAGTTTATCCAACACATGCATTGACACATTTTCTCTTTTTTTGATTTTTTTTTCTTTGTAAATAATGCCTATGCTTTGTTATTGAAAAAAAATAAATTATGCATCTTTTTGTTGATATTTGCTTTCTTAAAAAAGTATTCATAAGTTGAAATCCATTACGAAACGTATGAATAGTATTTTATTTAAGTGATTTGTTTAAAAGTATTCTCATTTTTTTTTATATGCTACGCACTAAGCACTTTTAGCTTCGATGTGAAGTTGAAAAAATTATTTTATTAGATATCCGTCAGATCAATTTATTTCACTGCACGATATTACTGCCACATTTATATAAATGCAATCCTAAACATAATAAATTATTCTGATTAATTTAGGTTGATGATCGGTTATACCCTTTCAATCGGGTTTATTGGTATAGAAATGTTTGGATTCGTGAGTGGCATAACCATGTTTTCTCCTACAACTGGATTTATATGTATCCTTTCCCATGATTGATTTTGTGTTAAAAAAATGTTTGTCTAAATAAGTTTATATATCCAATGTTTTATTATTGACTAGTTGTAACGACTATGACAATATTATTTTGTGTCTTTATGTTTTCAATATTTCTACTTCTGTTATCTGTTCCTATATTTTGTTTTTTTTTTTTTTAATAATTCCTTGACAACTATTTTTATTAGCTATGATATGTCATGCCGTGGCCACTATAATAATATTTTACTTTCTTCAAGATTTATGGACTTGTGAAATGTTTTGGTCGGTGTTTTTCTTGTGTAGCATGTTGCCATGTGCAATCGAAGTCATAACAATTTGTTATTCGTTTATAATGAAAAAATAACATTAAAACTTATTGCGTCTTTAAATCCATATAATTTAATTTATCTAGAATATTTCAAATTGTATTTTTAACAATTAGATAATAATATTGGTATTGTTTAAATGCTATTAATCCATTAAAATAATAATATATCAGTACTAGTATATAGATAATAAATTAAATACATTATTTTTAATGTATATCTTTGTGACTTAGGTATGTAATATAATTATGAAAAAGAACTATTTTTTAAATGTAAAAATAAGTGTTTTACGGGTGCGTTTATTTTTAAAAATATGAGCGTGGGTGTAGCATCTTATTTTAATGCCAATTTTGTTTCTACTTTTTTATTAAATTTTGTTATAATTTGTCTTTTTGATACTTTATTAACTTAGGTATTTCACTAAATGACTAACTTTTTTATAAATATTCTTTAAAAAGTTATTAATTAGTTTCATTTTTAATAGTACAGTAAAGAAAATCTATCACGCTAGAACTTAGTAAAAAAAGTAAACTGAAATAATTCGAAAGTATGTCATTATCAATATAATAATATGTATAAATATATTATAGTAATGTGGTTTTGTATGTTTTAAAAATTACATTAATTACATTTATCTAGGTACTAACTTCGTATTTGTTTACTTTTCTTAATTATTTGTATTATAAATAGAAAACTTACGCGTAATGCACTTGATTTTATTTTTTAACATTTATTATATTATAAATAGGCAATTTGCATGACTCAGAACTTTATTATGTGTCATGGCTTGGTAATATTTATTATTATTTAGTAAAACAGTTAATAGAAATTAATATTTTATATTATGATTAAAATTACGCAATATACGAGTATAATAACAATTTTGTTTTGATATTTCATTGTGTCATTTTTGCGATATCTTACATAAAATAGAGGTCGTACTTTCATTAGGTTATTAAGCTGTTTATTTATACTATTTAAATAATTAAGTGATAATAAACGTTATTTAATTTGCGGGTTTTCTGATTAACATCATTATGATATTATGTTTTGTTAGTTATAACTTATAAATACAAAAACATAATTAATAAGTAAATTGCACTACTTGCATTCAATATTATTTTATTTAAAAAATAAATGTCAGAAAAATATAATATAACTATCAGGTAATCAATATTTTTAAACTTACTTTTATGGCAAGTAATAACTATACTTTTAATTTTAAAACAGTCACAATACGAAATCAGCCATGTGCGTTGTGATAATTGTCGCAAGGAAAATGTCATTATGATTTTTTTATACAGTTGTTTTGTCCGAAAAACTTTCATCCCATTTGCTTAATTATTGTATGGTGCTATATTATTATTATTACACTCCGTACTTCATCATGTGAAAAATGCGTGCATGCCGTACCACGTGAGTTCATTTAAACATGAAAAAAACAAGAATGTCAGTTCTGATCGGTGGTTAATTCTAAACATGTACTTTTTTACGCTATGTTAAATATTTAGTTTGGTTAGCTTGGACATTTTATTATACATGCCGGTTAAATTTTTTTTTAAAAATGTTGACATAAATTCAGTTTAAAAATGCAATTTTAAAAACAAAATGTTCATTTTTATTTTTTATTAAACTCGTAATAACATTTTGTGGAAATGGAAATGCTATTTTTTACTAAGTGTGGTTTTATTTACACGTTTAGAAGTCTTGCTAATTTTTGCCAAAATTGACGTTTTCCTTTTAAACTCAACTTCCAATGTAGATATAGATATAAAAATAAGTTTTTGATTTTACAGTAGGTACTAACCTTTTACCTATCTGTATTGGTATTCGAATTTTTTCCTCAAATTTTAGAAAGATACTTAAGAAAAATAAATAATCAATGACATCCCTCATAAAAACACATCGGAAATATAATTTTATTAAAATCTCATACTTTTTAGTATCCTAATCGGTCAACAAAATTGTTTTTAATAGAATTACGTTTTTTTTAAATATTTTAATAAAATCCATAAAAAATAGTTAATACGCTATTGTCGCAAATAACCATTAATTAACTAATTTCCTTAGTTTTATCGAATAATAATATTGAATTATTCTTCCTACTTGTATTTAGGGATTTACGGTTTCATTAAAACTTTCATTCTGTTCATACCACTGATCACGAGTTACTTGGCATAAGGATAACATAGGATATACTTGACATGTAGGATATATTATATAATATATAGATATATATTTGTATAAAACTTAATAGGACTACAAAAAAAAAAACGCTCTATAATAATTACTAGTTAATGTGTAATAATAATAACGAATACCTATTACTCATGTACATCGAGGTCACAATCTAGGCACGTTATAAATTTTTAAATGAAATCGCGACATACCAATAGTTACTATAATTCCCCCATCAGTTAACTATTTTGAATCAGTCTGATTGTTCGTCTCATGTGAGATGTCGCGATTTTTTATTAATTTTTTAACAGTATTGTCTACATGTCTTACATCATATAATTTTATAATATAATAATTTTTTAATTTTTTTTTTTCTTGACTAAATAACCGTTGACGCGTGGTCATATTCGCATGATTTTTCGCTGTAATCGTAAATTGTAAGGTAATGTTTTTTTCCTATTATTTACAGTTCGTAAATTTCGTTCGGTATCATCCAATTAGTCTTTTTTTGTTTCACACGACGCATTGTTCTAAATTTCATTTTCAATGTCGTTGAAACCACGTCAAACTGAAATTACCTGTTGGACGTTTTAAGTTATTATATAATAGTCAACACACTACATATAGTATAATGTTTGTATAGTTAAACCAATATACACTAGTTTTAACACGTTAACCGTTTAGTATTGATTTCGCTGATTAATGTTAAATTAATTATTAAAATGTCTTACATTAAACTACTTCAAAATGACGTTGGATTCGGTAAGTATTAAGCGTGAACTATACTTCGGCATAGTTTTTATTGAAGTTTATGAACGTTGACAATTTTTTTTTACATTTAAGTTTTTAATTTTAATTTTATAATTACAAATTGCCACTATTTTTAAGTTACAACGAAATGATTATTTATCATTGTTAATGTTTCAATTTTGAATTACTTAAGTCAATTACTACCTAAATATGCCTACGGGGGTTCGGTTTTTGACGACACAATAACTTGAGCGATATCTTCTAAAGGAGAATATTATTTTAATATTTCAATTTGTCAATTTAGGGTCCAACACGGATGACGAAATGGAAAAGATGCAGAAAAAGGATGAATATAATACCGAATACAACCAACAAGAACGTCCGAAAAGAGTAATTATTATTTTCAACTATTTATTTATATTTTATTCATTTACGTGAATGCATTAAAACATGTATAAGTAGCAACGTAGTAACATATTAAATTAGGTATTAGGTGTATAATAAAAATTAACAACAGCTAAAAACATTGCAAGCGAGTTAATGGAGTTTATGAACAAATACAAATAATTAGCAAAACCAGTGATGTTGGTCGATTTTTAACAAACACGATTTTACTACAAATAAATGACGTACACATTGAGTTTACATAATAATATTTATTTTGTCTGGGGTGACGTGAAAAGCAATAACTTTAAACGTTAACTAAGCCTGAAATAATATTTGTCAATGCATAGGAGTTAAATCAATAACTTCTCCATTGAACGGCTATCCATTTATTGTGATAAATAGTGTATTCAACCTATAGGCTTGTGTAATATAAAATGTAATAATAAACTTGCACAATGAACCTACTAGACAACATTGTAAAAAATAGACTTGTTCTCGCGTTTGAATATATTATTACTTATTATTATTAGGTTTGTTGTTAGATTAGAAAACAAACAAAAAAAGTTTTTTTTTCAATTCATATGGTAAAACATAAAAATATTAATACTGTTCACTAGATATGCTCAAATTTTTTATACGACAGTCAATAATAATAATAAAATGTATCGATGAATGATAGATAACTATTTATTCATGACTAAAGATAAAATATTATTTTTATTTATAGTATAAATAATAATATTATCTTTAGATGATTTCAAACTTATTTTAATTATATTATTTTATCAAGTTATTTTTTTTTATATTAAATAAAACGATTAATTAGATTTATCTTGAATAATTTTAATATTCACCTATATCTATACCAAACAAATTTTAAATGAAAAATGAATAAAGTCAGGTAAACTCGTCGACAAATTATCTTTTTTTAATGTATCTTTTTATTTAGCTAAAAAATAATTCGAACATTGCCCAAATCAGTTGAGTACTTGACTACCTCTATTATTGTTAGAAATTATTCAAATAGGTTCAATGATGAATATGTACTATTTTTATTATTTTTTTCCAGGAAAGCAAAGTGTCTTGGATACTGTTTATAACGACGTTGAGTGTTAGCCTAGGATGTTCTGTTCCAGCGGGTTATAACATTGGAGTAGTTAACGCGCCTTCGGAGGTGAGTGTGTCTAAAATCATAACATTTAAATGCTTATATTAGCCAATTAAAAATATTTCACACTACAATTATTTGCATATTAATTAAACACTAAAAAAACAAACATTACTACCTATACAGATATTGAAACAATGGTGCAACGACACGATTTTGTTCCGTTATGCTGTCGAATTAACAAAACCTCAACTGGACGTTTTGTGGTCAGTGCTGGTTTCGGTTTTCCTCATTGGTGGCATCATCGGCGGTGCAGCTGGTGGAAACTTGGCCGACAAGTTTGGCAGGTACTATACACCGTTATTTACCATTGTCAGCACTCGGATATAATAATATTTAATACGATCCCCGAACTACTCTTTTAAACACGGGTGTAGGGGTACAGATTTTTCAAAAATCGGCTGGAGTACTACACTAGCTCCATAACATCCAACAGTGTTAGCGACGAAATCCGCAATGTTGCTCTCGATTTCCCATAGCACACCGTCGTTGTCGACGTCTATATGTGTGACCGTACGACAGTCTGAATTTTTTTTCACCTTAATGTTTTAACAGACAAAATCTGACTTCTCCGTCCGTTGTTTTCAGCATCAAAAAATACAAAGTTGAAGGGGGAAAAATGTAATCTCAACGGGGCTGTGGTAAAGTACATTTTAACCCTCATAACACAATTTTCTTAGTGGTATACAATTATTTTTCGATACAAATAACCAGAATTGTCAGTAACCCAGGTTTATTGTAAAAAAGTCCAAACCCAGTTAAGTTGAACTTCCCCAGCCCCGTTTAGTTGTGCCAATGTTTGTTATTTATTTTAGCGAAATCGCGCCCCTGACCGTGTTGTTGATTTTTTTATCGTTGTTCTTACCAACATCATGTTTTCTTCCAAAAAACTTTCTTTGGCGTCCCAGCTGTATAGGTTGTTCAGTCCTTTAATGCGGAAGTACATGACAGACCCGTAAGCCGACCCTAGAACGACCATTTTGCACGGCTTCCGACCGATGTTGACCACACACTTTGGGTTGATGCGCTTCCGCAAGTGTTTGGTCCGGACCTTAAACATGTCTTCGCCTGACAAGTACGTGAAGTACAAATAATTGCATTTGGGCGTTTCAATCAGGACCAGATAAAATACGTGTTCAGATCCGGTTACTGAACACGAGATGGTAGCCGAACGGGGAAGCTTCACTCTGTATCCTTCTTTGCCTTGGACGTTCCAGACTATTATGGCCCTCGTTCCACCGTCTCCGACATAAACGATCGTGCTATTGTCGCTAACGTATTCGACCACCAAGTATTTTAGTCTACTTCGGACCTTGCATAATAGCGACTCCAGCGGTATCGTGTAGAGTATCTGAAAAACAAAAGCTATTGAAGTTGTTCTGCCGTACGTCTTGCCCCTCCGCCCCGCCACAACAAATTTCAAACCACAATTTTGAGCTGACGGGGTTAGGTTAGTTAACCTACGCGGCCATTTCCGTAGTGGATGCCCAAGACTTTGGGATCGCTTTCCTTGGTGGGAATGTCTTCGAGAGAATTGACAACCCCATTGTCCAGCACCCAAATTATGCCATCCCGGCCCGTGTATATGTCGATGGCGTTTATTATGACGGCTGATTTATCTCCTGCGCTGCTCGTCGCCAAAGTAGGAAAAGGCCGGACATAATTGTAACATTGGTCGTTACCATTGAGCGTGACGCTGCTTAGCGTGAAAGGCACGCCTTCTCTGAAACGACAATTTTGTCATGGCGGTTATTTACAATGGAATCAACATTCCTATTTGGTACTGATTGTTTCCTGTACAACCATTAATATACATAATATGGACAGTATAGTCTTGTTGTGTACATCTTACTTGTAGCGCGGTGAAACCAAGTACACGTGTTGTCCGCAAATTTGAAACCTGGTGAAAATTATGTTTTTCGGTGTATGTTTTTTATTTTTTTTATACATTTTTTCCACTTTTTCGTTTGGCCACTTGACGTAATGTCCATTCAGCATGTGCGGTTTACATATTTTGTTTGTAGTTCGACCGCAGTTATCACCGCCAAGCGAATCGGTGTAATAGTATACTAAAATTATGAAAAAACTGAATTTCATATTAGTATAACTGCATCGAAAAATCTGCGAAAAAGTCGCTTCATTTTCAGAATTAAACAATTAATTGAGTTCACACATTGTTACTCTGGAAACGAATTCTGCGTAGTTTAATTTGATAAGACTATACTAAATTGTTATAGGTAATTCACAAAATAAAAACGCGTTGAATATTTTTAACCACGTTAACAACCTACAAAATACAATATCTATATTATAGTAAATGATTTATGGGTTTTTTTTTGTTTCAGAAAAGGAGCTTTAAGACTTACATACTTCCTAAACCTGCTGTCTGGTATAAGCTTTTTATGCTGTAAACCGGTAGCCCTTGTTGAATTATTTTTCCTTGCGAGGCTGATTGCTGGTTTATCAGCTGGTATGTTATATTTTTATTAATGTCAATACGAATTGTATGGCTATTACACTATAATATAATAAATAGAGATGGAATCTTTAAAAATCCCATTTACAAAAAACGTTATATTATTTGAAGAGTCAATCGTCCAATTTTACATTAGCCATAAAATTGTAATTGAATAACATTACATCATATTAATATTGTAATGTTATATAATTATTTATGTACAAATAACAAATAATAGTTGTTCTTTTATGGTTTTTTAGGTCTTACTATGGCTATGGTGCCTATGTATTTATTAGAAATAGCCCCTATGAATACTGAAGGTATTTTTGGGGTAATTTTTACTGTTGGACTGAACTTTGGTGTAGTTTTATCTCAATTTTTAGGATTGGAAAATCTTTTAGGTAAGTTATTTCTAATCTATGTGTTTTAAAGTGTCAATATTTCCAAACTTTTTTTTTTTTTTAGGGTACAATAGAACTTAAATTTACATATTATATACCTCGAAAATAGCTGAAAATGTCTACACTGACAAAAATATTCATACGTTATACTTAAAGTTTAAAATATATTTTTGAAAATATTGATATTTTTCTAAATTATCTAACAAGTTTTTTGCCAAAACAAAGTTAACTTTTAGAATAAAGCACATAATATGGACAATTTATACTAATATTAATATTTAATTTTGTAATTTTAGGTACTGAACAACTTTGGCCGTATTTATTTAGCTTATTTGCAGGATTAGTACTAGTTGTTCTTCCTGTACTACCATTCGTTCCTGAGAGCCCTAAGTACTTGTATACAGTGTGCAACAACTACAGAAGAGCATTAATTGGTAAAATCATAAAACATAATTTATAATTATTTTCTAAAATTTTGTTGAATTGTTAACCATTACTTGGAAATTTTGAGAAAACGTTTTAAAAAATTATTTTTTCTTATATAAGGGAATAGAAATTTAAAAAAATTACACTGTAATATTAAAATTACAACAAGAAACAATTAATGAATGATGGACAAAATGTAATATATTTAGTTATTACTTACAATGTTTATAATTGTATCTATTTATTCAGTTCCATGTTCAACTAACTACAGAGCCCATCTTTAGAAGTGCATAGTCAGTTGTTACTTATTCCTTATTGTAATGATACCTAATGGATATATGTTTGGATTTTTTGCAGAACTGAGTCATTTAAGAGGAAAGCCTGAATCAGAGATAAGTTGGGAATTAGGAAAGCTAGTTGTTTCGTCTGAAATTTGGACATTGCGTAAAGTGTTGAATGATCCAATAAATCGCAAAGCATTACTTATTACGTGCGTAATAATGTTAGGTCAACAACTGTCTGGAATTAATGCTGTAAGTGAATTATTATTTATTATCATATTGTTGTTAAACTATTTGAATCTACTTCGCCCTATCCCATTTAAATGGGGTCGCCCAAACGAATAGGCTTTCTCCACAAAGCTATATCTATCGTTATTACTTTATTCACTCCACACACACACTTTCTTGGTTTTTATTTAATAAAAAATTATTTTAACAATAAGTAAAAGTTATGAATAACTATTTTTTCAGTGAATACCTAATGAATCATTTAAATTATTTACAAATAAAAATAATTACTCATGAATAGTCAAATAATGAACAATGTAAAAAACCATAAATAATTAATAAAAAATTGTTCATGCATTTTTTTTTATTCCGAATAGTTATTTGAATTAAAATGTATTAATTAAATTCTATCTCTGATTAAAACTATTATTTTATTACAGATATTCTACTACTCAACCTCTATTTACATTAATGCCGGACTGAGTACGGTTGGTGCTCAGTATGGAAATTTGGGTGCAGGACTTATTAACTTTATCGTAACAGTTTTATCGACTGTGTTTATAAATAATTTTGGACGAAAAACGTTGCTCATTTTCAGTTGCATTGCTTGTGTTTTTATGCTCACGGGTTTAATGACTTTTATGGTCCTTTCGTCCGCCGTAAGTGTAAAACTAGAGTAAATAATTGGACATTTCTTAGAAGAAATATATGTTTTATATTATTATTTTTTTTTAGGGTACAATAACTGGTTTGTCTTTCTTGTCGGTGTTCTTTATAATTGGATATGTCTTGTTCTATGGAATAGGCATAGGCCCTATCCCATTTTTTATCGGATCAGGTGTGTATAATAATATATTATAGGAAACTGCAGCAACACAAATTTTAACAACGTTACTTTATTATGTTATGCTTTATAGAATTGGTGGATGTCGGGCCCAGACCTATTATCATGGCAGCAAATAGTGTTGCAAATTGGTCAGGTAACTTTTTGGTCGGGCTAACTTTTCCAATCATTTCATTGGCACTCAAAGAGTTCTCGTTTCTACCATTCATCGGGTGTACTATATTTCTCATCATTTTCACGTGGTAAGTTTTTTTTAAAATTGCTTACACCAATGTTATTTTTGAAAATATAATTGTTTTTTTTTTATGCTTTTAGGAAATGTGTTCCAGAAACTAGAGTTACCACCGAAGTAGAAACAATAGAACCTAAGTAGATTTCTATATTAAACATAAATAGACCACATAGGCAAACACAAAAAAAAAAATGAATACTTAGTATTATTACCACTAAATGTTATTGAGTACAAATATATTGTTATTTTAATTTGGTTATAATGAATTTATTTTTATTCCTTTAGTGCTGTTTTTTTTTTGTATATTTTAATTTATTGTTATCATTTGAATATTATAGAGAATTCCAAAACATAATTGAGAGATAAAATAGAAAAACATGTCATGTGACAAAATAAAATTTTGAACTTAAAACTGAATCATTATTATAAAATTAGTTACCAAAACAAAATGTATACAAAATATGTTACATTAAATTGCTGCACGGGAAAAAAGTTGTAGTCATTACAATTCAAAATGTTTGTTGACGAGTATACATTTTCAGTTCATTGATGAGTTTTTATTATATTATAAATTTTTGTTTATAAATTTATTTTGAACGAATTTGTATACTAGCAAAATAGTATTAGATTAGTTATTATATTTAGGTTTAGAAAGCAATTATTATTTTTCATTATATTACGTTACCAGATTTCATACATCTCAGTATTTATTAATTAGTTAAAATTTTTATTATTTTTATTTTATTTTATAATATTGTTAAAACTGTACAACTATTCACTATACTTTTATTGTATTGAGTAATGAATTATTTTGGTTTTATGTATGAGTATTTTTTTTAAGTTATTTTAACTAGTTCCTTGTTTTAAATAAAACTTGTGGTAATTTATGTGTAAATGGACTATTAGTGTAATCAATATACAATTTATATTATTTATTTATAAGTTATTAGTTATTACAAAGAACTAAATTACTAAAACTCTCCCTATTATTGTAAAAATTGTATTAGTAAACATTTCAACAAAATTACAAACTATTAACTGTCAAATATTCAGAAAGCAGAAATTTTAAATATTAATGGTACAGTTTTGCAAACAAATGATTTGAAATCTGATAAATATATATATATATTATAATTTTTTAAGTTATAATTAATTTAAAATTACTCAATGTAGTCAATTGAGTATGTTGTAGTCAATTTTTGAATCTTTTAAACACATCTAACTATATTTCAATTAGAATAATCAAAAGAAATATAACTATAACATTAAAATTAATTAATGAAATTATTCACTTTACTTTTAAATGAAGATGTCTCAAAATTAAATTATAATTATAAAAATAACTATTGTTTTTTAAGAAAAACATCAAAAATGCAATTTGCTTAGACTAAAAATTTAAAAAAATAGTAACCAGTTAAAAGTTTAGTAATGTCTTCGAATTTGTCAGGTAGACATTTTGGGGCCTCAGCTGAAATTAGGATCCGTGGCCCAATTTTATGAAATCAGGCATGCTCAAAAGTGTTTATTTAAAATATATATTTTGCAAGTATTTAAAAATTTAAAATATGCAGGTACCTATTCGAATATCTACTAAAAAGTAAAATATAATTTATTTATCTACATTTGCACAAATACAACTGTTACTCGAATACTTATTACTTTATAGTACAGAACAATGAACATTATTCGATATACTATTTACTATTATAACTTATAATGGAGGGATACACGGTGTATCATACAGTAAGCTGTAAGTAGTAAACGAGTGTTGGACCACGGAATACCCAGAAGGGAAACCTTGACTGACCTGGACTGATTTGGCCGACATTTTGTTTTTACGGATTACGTACAATTATCAAGCTTTTCCCTTGAAAAAGTTTTCTATAGGCAATCCATTATAGTGTGGCTCCCGGCCGCAAAACAATATGACAGTTGGCCTTTTTCGGCGGCTCACAAGAACCCGTGTAATTTTTTTAAAGTTTCCCTTCTGGTTATTCCGTGGTTGGACGACCGACGTGGTTATCACTATTTTTTTTTTTATCTATTTTGTGGCACTCTTATCAGTGAGTCGTGTGTGTGCGGTTTAGTGTTTCCCCACCGTAACAATATTTTTTCCTACTTCTGTTCGCCGGTCGCTACATTTGATGTTCTTGCGGTCGGTTAGGTCGTTCGTCACTTCCGGGCTCCGGTTTGCCTTGTGTTGTATGCGATTTCGTTAGACGGTAGTAATGTTGCGTACCCGACTGCGGTTTTTAGCTTTCCATTCCACTCGTTAATAACGTTTCTCAGCGGCCTTTCTATAGCTAACGAGCGACTATAATATTTTTAGTGTCTACACAGTAGGTACAGGTAGTTCGCGTAATAACATTATGTGAGTGACACATCAGACCGCGCTTCGAATAGATTATTCTTTTTTCATTATTTTTTTTTTTCTTTCACATTTTTCACTCGTTAATATTATACCCATATAGTTGTTTATAAAATAAATAAACATGAAGAACTTCGTCGTACCTGTCATCGTCGTTGTTTTGGGTAAGTGTCTCATGTTTGGAAGTCGTATACAATATGTAGAATAAATAATTTTGTGAGGGGTCTTGTTTTGCTTTCACAGTAATCTCAAATAATGTCAACTGGTGCGTTAGAGGAAGCGAGGGTGAGACCGACCTTAACGATCTGAAAGATACAGTTAAAAAGAAGTTTGGCTCGTTGTCGTTGGATAATGTGCCAAATATCGACCAATTAAATTCTTCTATACCGTCTCTCGAAGAGGGTGAGAAATTGTTCAAAGAAAAATGTCTACGAAACAGCCAAGTCAACAATTCTTATGAACTAGCTATGGTATGTACCTTGTCTAAAATATTTGGTCATCACGTAAGTTGCATTATAAACGATAATTTTAGAGCCAATTGACTTAGACTTCTATAGGTTTGTACTGAAAATAATGGAGGGATTAGTAAATTCCATACCTACCTATTGTTAAAAAAATGCTATCATTGTAGGATTGTGCCTTCACTATCTTCATAACTCAGTTATATAGGTGTTTTGTTAATGTTGCCAATTAATGTATTATCAATTAACCCTTTCGTTACTGACATCCTCGTACGAGGATATAACTTTAAAAATAAAATAAAATAGTAACAACGTACTATCATTATCAAAAATGTCTTTAAACACAAGTTCTAGTATAGATTGATGATAAATCGACACAGCTATATTGATAATCAATATCAGTCCAATACGTAAAAAAATTGTTGATTTTTTTTTTTTTTTAAAAATGCCTTGAACGAAAGGGTTAAGTAAAACCAACAGTATCGTGGTATTAATTGTAGGTAGAATCTAAATTCTAAACTATAGTGTAGTAATTCAAAAATGAGATGATTGAGTTAAAAACACAATTTTGTGTGTAGTTGTACTGTACGATAGTTATATTATACCTACATTTTAATATATTAATTTTTAAGAATACAAATGAGTTTGTTGTAACGAATATAATTATATTGATCATTTTTGAGTTCTGATGATTCTGTATTAGGTTTCCGTACAATACCTACGAATAAGTACGAACATGTGTAATTATGAATTATTATATAAACACAATATTATTTGTTGAAAACCCTATATGATTTTTGTAATATTGATGGTCTCCCTGACCTTGTTTGAAAAATCAATAATTACAAATTGACTTTGAACTGACTATTTGTTCAGACTTTGTTCTGTAAATTACTGACCTATTTTATTTAAATAGTTTAATTAATTTATATAATCTGAAAACCTCAGGTAAGCCCAAATTTTGATTTGTTCTTATGATTAACCACAGCTTTGATTTTTTGATAATGTAGAAGTCTAGCGACACAACAGAACAGTAGACTTGGCTAAAGAAAAAATCAATTGATTTTGGGATCCTAAATTATCCTTTAAAAAGTATACATTGTTTAGGAATTAATGCATCAATTATCAATATATATCTATTTAAATTTTTTTGTAAAAATGGGTTATTGTTACTATTTGATGAATTCTTACTGTTTTATGTATTCCTTATGTTAATTTGTAATTTAACATTGGGTCACAATAATTTCAAAGTTTAATCGGTTATTCCAGTTGGTAATAGATAATTCAGTATAGCAATTGATACATCCTTCTATTTCACTATAAATGTATACATTCTTATTTATAAGTACCGACTAACCTGTTATACTTAAACCAATACTTACTATGATACCTACTTAATTTAAACTATGATTCTGGCATTCTTGAGATTTTTAATGATTTGGTGGATTCTTAAAAAAAAGGTTACAATTTAAAAGAAAAAGAAAATTTCTTATAATCGAAAAGAATTTTTAATTTGTATTTAATAATGTACCAAGTCAAAAACCAATGTAATTTTTGTACAGATTATTTTTTTTGGCCAAATTAATTATATTTTAATTTATTATCTATATAATTGAATAGTGGCTTTAAACATATTATTATGTGGATTGGCATACAAATTTTGATTTTATTAAAATATTATTTTTATTCACACTAAACAGATAAATCTAATATTTACCTAATATAGTAATGTTTTCTAGAACGCATTAATGTTCTGTTCATTATATTCCTTACTATTTACATAAATAAGCTATAATATATAAAACGCATTAAAATTGTAAATAAATATGTTTATGTATGTCTAATAATATGTTCCTATACAGTTTTAACGAGTATGTATAGATTGCTTACGAGAAATATAAACTTCAGTTTCATAACAAAATGTTTTATAGATGTGGTACATTATAATTACGGAATAAATCAAATCATTTAATTTTACAGTTCTTATTTCAAAACATAGTTGATTGTTAAACAAAATATAATACACATAACATAACATAAGGCTAATATATGTATGCAAGTTTGTATAAAACCTTGAGAAGGTTTTAGGTTAGATATTTCTGATTATGGCTTTACGTTTGTATTTTTTGAGAATCAAATAATGACCTTCGTATAACTACTTATTATTATTGCAAGTATGCGTTCTTACGTTTAACCTCAGTCCAAGTACCACTTATTAGCACAGTCAGAAATTTGCCTTTTTAAGTATGATGATTTTTATATTTTAGTGATGGATAAGCTGTGTTTCATTACTTATTAACAAAGATGTGATGTATTATTATTACCATGATCATAAATACCACTATTTTTTTTTTTATATATCACTTGCTACTAGTAATACTAGTTCCTACCACTAATAGCAATTGCTTTTACAAATGTGAAATATGGTGTGAGGTATTATAGGATTAGCCAAGTATTATTTTCTCTTTATTAGTTTATTTTGTATCCACAAAAACTAGTTTTATATAATACTTCATCCAATATACAAAATAAGTTTTCTAAAAAACTAATAGATGGTTCTTCAGTTTTAATATTAATAAAATATAAAACAAATTATAATTTTTTTGCTTGTTATTAAAAAATAAAATGAGTATTCAAAACATGTATGATATATTATAAATATTATAATAATGTTATTAATTTCAGTACAATTTGGGTTTAGATGTTTGAATTTTTACCAAGTTCTGATTTTTCAGCCTAATTGGTCATTTTGACGTAGCATACATAATACTAGTGATGAGAATCCGAAAATCAGGATTTTCACAAAAAAAAAAACGCTATTTAAGCTACTTAAAAATCATATAAGTGTTAAAAAAATTTACTATATAAAGCTGTGTACCTAAGTAATTTTTTTTTTTTGTTAAATATGTAAAAATAAAACAAAACACCTAATAGATAAACTGCTTTTAGATTTTGGATTTATTGAAATAGTTTCAAATGGCTTAAATAGCATTTTTTTTTTTTTTGAAAAATCTGGATTTTCGGATTCCCATCACTAAATAATACAGATAATAAAATTAGAACTTTCTTTTAGTACTAAAATAATTTTTCTTATAGACAATAGATCAAAATTTTGTACTAGAAATTTTTTTATTAAAAATATATTTTAGCTGGTATTGATACCTTTGCTGTCTATGAGCAAACATATTTTGTAAACTAAATACTAGTTTTTAAGTTTTATACTAACATTTGCAAAACTTTTATCCAAATATAATTTCTAAACATAATTTTTTCAATACGGTATTTTATGTTTTTTAATTTTTATTGACTTAATACATAATTTCTTTTCTATTATCAGACATAGGTATTTAGCAAAAAAAGAAACATTATTATTACCTAAAGTTACACTAAGTTACATTTTTGTATTGATAACATTTTTTCTTAAATAACAAATGGTAATATTTCATTGACAAATGTTTCGAAATTTTTTTTATTTTAGTAATAATTATTAATATACTTCTAATATAGCTTATTTATGATTACAACTTTTGATATTTACATAGAAATTTGCAAAATAAGAATTTTATTAAACATAACAAACTCATTAATTATTTAACATTGTAGTGCTGTTATGATGACCTTATATGTTTTTAAGTTTTCTTGCATAAAATAAAAGATAATTCATAAGTTATGCAAAATAATTACTTAATATATTATTTAATTTCAATACATATTATGTTGCATTGCATAAATTGAGTATTTGAATTATAAGAACATATCAGTAGTTTATTTATTGTACGAATTAGGACAGCATTCTTAAACATGTTGTACCAACTTCATGAGTTTGCTGATATTTTACAGTGAAGTTCAAATTTAACATAACAACATATAATTATCTCTGATCTCAAAGTCCAATAAATATCAAGTTTAATCCTATTTTCGGATAAAAGATAATCTATTTACATATCTATTTAATGTATCTACAAAAACGTTTAACTTATCAACTATTCTGTAAACGTTTTATTCTATTAAACGGGATCATATTGTGATAGTGACCTTGTACCTTAAAGCTATGATTTTTATCATATTTTTAAAATGGGTATTATAGGACATGCCTGATATAATATAATTTATAATAATACAACAAAGAATGTGATTATACACAAATACAAAGAACAGTACTAACAAAAACAATAGCCTAATGCTCAACAAAAGCCAGATAAAATATATGGAAGGGGTGGTCATACTTTATATCAATAACGGTATTTTATATCCATTATCAGTAGTTAATTGTTTTTTGAAGGTTCGTTAAATTTATGAATGAACTTCCTTTTTACAATAGGTATATCTACAAAGTATATTAATAATAGTTGAATAATATGTATGAAAAAAATTGTATAGAAATGTAAACCCGGTTTGTGAATTAAAAAATTACTCCTGCTGGTACACATAAAAAAAAATGTTCTCAAAATAAGTAAGTACTAATTGAATATGTGTACAACATGAACAATTTCTCTGGGAAATTTAATAATGCTAAAAAAGTACTTTGAAATACATACATACGTTTTTATATTATAAATAATAATAAAAATGTACTGTATTTTATTATAAAACTCAAATTGTTCACCCTGGGCTTTCGCCTTTCTGACGATATCAAGAAAAATTCTGTAACCGGACATTTTCGCTATTCTTAATGTCTAATATTATTTTATACGTTTCTTTTACATTTCAAATAGTTAATCAAACAAATCTAAATCATTGGAAGGTTCTGTTTCTTCAGGTATAAGTATTGCCAAGTGGTTTAAAATACTAAAATAAATAATGATAACGTTTCAGATAATAAAAACAAGTATTTGTTTCCTTGGTAATTTTTTTCTTCAACGTTTTTTCCGTTGGTAATTTTATTCCTTGGATGTTTTTACTGCGATTCATTTAAACCTCACCTAGGCGTAATCATTAAATCCAATTTAATAGTATTTAAAGTATAATTAATTATCGTACTTTTTTATGTCGGTGAACAAAGTAATATTATATATTATTACTATAATAATATGTCTTTATTGGCATATTTTTAAGATAACCTACCTAATATGAGTTTGTGTTTAAAATAACCGAACACAAAATTAAATATACATATTCAATGTCCAGATAATTTGTTTTTCTTGTCATGAAATGTAAACTATGCGGCCAAGTGGTAACCAGTAATTTAAATAATTTCACTGGGAAACTTTGTATGTTGGCGACGATATCAATACAAAACTAAATAATTATCATTCCTCATTTTTATAGGAAATAATACAATTTGTAGGAATTTTAAGTTCATCTAAGTAATGTCGAGTAAATTATTTTTTTTTTATTGGAAATTTGGTTGTAAATAACGATTTTTTACTTACGCCTATATTAACTCAATTTTCGAGCAAAAAAATGACTTGCACCACTTAACATTTATTATTGGAATGCACTCAAATGTTTTAAAATTAATTAACCATATGTGTAGTTATACGATTGTGTTTCATTTGCTTTCTATTTATTCTTCACAAATGTATTAGCTTTGATAATAATCTATTGTTGCCGTAGGTTTTTTTTTTTTGGAACTTTTAAATCGTTATTTTCTAGAAGTAAGTAAATAATGTATTAAAGAATAATGTAATTTCTAGAGGGATATTTTTTTTTTTTGTTATAACTATTGACGCTGACCACTGTTATACTGGCCGCCTGTTTCGTTGAGTAATCGAGATGTACAAAATGTATTGTGTGTGTGAAAAATCTATGTAAAAAAAATGTGATTGCTTTGTGGACTTTGGATGTTTTATGAAATTGATAATAAAAGAACCATATTATCTATGGTTTGTAATGACTGACGTGGGGATACGTTTGTTAAAAATCCAATATAATATGATTAAAACAATCACAGGCAAAACGCCTATACTTGCTGTACAGAATTGATAGTTGTAAATACCGGGATAACGGAGTTTGCCTTCACTGTTTTCCAAACCGACAAGGTCGCAACCGATACTGATGATCTCATGCATCGACCATTGCTTATAATGCTAATAATTATAAATAATGCATAAATGCATTGTATTTATATTTCATATTATGATTTGTGCTTATGCAGCTGTTGTGAACAAAACAATGGTGGCGTAGACATGTACCATGATAACAAATTTTGATCGGTTTCCTGTTTTTAAAAATAGGCTCTCCACTATCAAACTGCGATTGACATTAATACATTATTGTATATTATCCAGTGCTCTGTCAATCAATGACAAAGTGAATGATATAAAGGGTGTTTTTGAATTGATAATAATTGACCGGTAAAGAACAGCACAGTGTATTAAATATGTATTGTCGAACGTACGTCTAATGATTGATTTTATTATTCCCAGGCTAATTTGCATTTTGCACAACAACTGCAGTGTGCGGTTTCTAAGTTGTTCTACTGTGACAACGACCAAGTAGCATGATATTTAAAAAAAAACGAATAAAAAACAAATAAAATATAAATATGACGTATTATGTACACTATTGAATTGTCCATTCTGTGATATAGTTATAAATTATTTTTTACTTTTGTTACGAACCCTTGAAATATCCTACCGATGACTCATCAAATAAATTGGTGTTTATTTTTAAAATGACTGCCATGAACAATTCTTTAGCAATTCACGTGATGAGCCGATAATGTTGATTTAACAACGTTTCACGTTTGGGTGTCTGTTGATCGAGGAGATAAAAATGAACCTAAAATAATACCTACTGTATACACATTGGCATTATTATGTTTGGTGTTCACACGCTTATGAATATTCTATTATTTGATACGTTAGCGGTTAGACCACTATTTGTGTTCCAATTGTTGAATTTAAATTTTAATAAATAAAAAAATATGTAACGCCGCGGTTTAACAATAATATAGTGTCTTGCATATTAAACCGAACTGGGGAGTAGTAAAGAAATGTATTTGAATGCATTTCAATAGGTTCACTGAATAATTATTAGCCCGAAAAATTATTCTTCCACACAATACCAAACTCAAAAACAGTTTTATAATTGAGTAATTATTAAGGAAAAAGTGTCGCCTGAGTGAATTGTATGAACTAAAAATCAAATTTAGTCCGGCATGTTGAGTATTTACCCAAAAATATGTATTTTATGCTGTTATTACAGAAGTTCTAATTGGCGTTTAAAGTGCTACATTTTTTGTTTTATTGGAAACTAAAATTTTGATCATTTTTTTTAGGGAACTATTTATTGGGAATTATTCTTTAGGTTACCAATGACACATATTTTGTAAAAAATAAAACTTATTATATTGCATCAATTTGATAGTATTTTTTTTCGATGGACTCGAAAATTATCTCAGATTTTGTGCAGTGTGATAAAGAGTAGAACAATGCAAATGTCATTTAAAATTTTTTAAAACATACTACGCATATTATGATTTACCATAGATTTTTTTTTTATCAATTTTATATGATAAATTGTTGCTTGAACGATATATCATTATACATAGTATAGTAGCTGCCTATATTTAGACCATTGTTATTTGTCTTTGAAATTTGTTTTGCAATAATTTTCATTCAATTACACGTAAATTCTTCATAATTTTGATGGTATTGTTTTTAAACTTATATAGTAATTTTCTGTAAATGTAATAAATGTAGTTGCAATAGCCATAGTATATTTACAAAAAATAATAATAATAATTAGGTAATATTTTTATCCTTGTTTCAGGAAGCCAAAGAACAACTTCAAGTATGTGTTCATTCGTTAGTCGACCTCAAAGAACTGAAAAAAGAGGTCGAGGAAGCCAAACCCAAAGGTGACGTGGACATAGTTTTCAAAAAATACTGCAAGTAAGTTTTGCTGATAAGCCGAGTATTTAAAAAATACTGATCATTCTCTAACTATGAACCAGCCAATACTTCATGAAATTCAATGATATATTAAAAATAAAACTATAGTTTTGGGTTCTTGTCATGCATATATGAATAATATTAAACATATTTGTTTCTTGCCTTTATGCCTTAAACTAATGGTAACTTAATATTACCATTAGTAACTTAATTTTCGTTTGATATTTATGATTGTCAATAAAAAATAAAATATTTTGTCTTAAATACTTCCAATGTCTGTTCAATACTTCAAGAGTTACAGTGCTTTTAAGCTTAGGATTGTTAGATAAATATTGATGCCATTTATGAAATGCTCATAATTTTCAACCAACTGGCTACTGTATGCATTGATCTATATTTGTATAATTGTATTGACAATTGATTGTTATTCACTGTGATAAACAACTCTTCTAATAATAAATTATAAATCGTCACAACGAAAGCGCTATTATAAGACAAAATATAAGTGGTCATAACTTTTATAATATTTGACGGTTAAGACAAATTGTTTGGAATTTATTTAATTTAATAATATTTATAGACAGAATACATATAAGTTTTATTTTTAATATATGGGTGAATCTTATGCAATATTGATGGGTTAATGGTGTATCACCATTGTATCACCCTGTATGTATATTGGAAAATTAAAAATTAATTAATATTTGTAGGAAATCGCCAGATTTCAAGAGCTGTGTGTTGAATTTCACATCGACTGTAGAAGTTTGCCTGGACGAAGGTGAAAAAGCTAGCAAGGTAATTCTCCAAAGCGTCACCGAAGCATTATTAGGATTTGTTTGTCACGACGAGGGCGATCGCATAGCGTGTATGTATATGTATTTACTTAACTATTTGGAACTGGTGACCGAGAATAGACAGAATATGAAAATTTTAACTGTGGTATTTTCTTTTGTTTTTACAGTGTTCTATTCAGAAGGCGGACCTGATTGCTTGATGGACAAACAAGAAGCTATTCAACACTGTCTGAATACCTCATTCAGCAAGTACTCCCCCTCCGGTGATGTTAACAGCTTATCCAACTTGCCGGCTTTCAAATTCGAAGAAGATCAGTGCAAGTTAGTAGACCCCCATAAACAATTTTCAATTAAATTACTTTTAGAAGGCAGTTATTTCATTATTTTTCAAATTTGTGATAGTGTATGTATGTACACAAAAAAAATGGTGTTATTGGCACTTAAAATAACATCACTTTTTTTTTTTTATACATTGCATTTCGTTGCTGTCGAAATTTCAGTAGTTTTATACTACTAGTTTTTCATTTACTTAAGTATATCATTATGACTTTCAGGAGTATGGGCGAGCTTCAAACATGTGTAGTAGCAGAATTGACAAAATGTGGGGAACCTACACCTGCTAATATTGTTGACTCGTTATTTGAGTTCATCCGTCGTTCAACACCTTGTTCACAATATAAGAGTGCTCAAATTCAAAAGTCTTCATCATCATCTGTAAATTTGTTATCATCAAACTCATTGACATTGTTCTCTGGTTTAATCTTTTTATTGGGACTTGTAGGATATTATTAAGAGTATTGTATAATTTGTATAGCGTTATTATAAGTAGCATGTTGCAGTACTTACCACTACAACTAATATATATATATATAAACAATGGCTTGAAATCAAAATCTTAACCACATCGTTATTTCACTTAAAGATTAATTACATCTATTAAAGCAAACTATTGCTTTTATACAAATCATTGTTGTTTTCCAGTAAATAATATTAAAAAAAAAATGTTTTAAATTCTTTTTGTCTTACTTAATTATACATAGAACAACAAATGCCACTATTTATAGGTTTTATAGTTAACCATTTAGAACAATGTTTATATTAACAAATTGTAATTTCGTGTCATAAAAAAATGAATATTGAACATACCTATTTTTATTAAAATTCTATGGTAACTTTCAAATATTATTCTAATGAAAAAATGTTTTCTACTTTGACTGTACGTAACAAGCTACTCTTTAAGGTGTTTGCTCTCTCATTTTATAATTAATTGTATTTTTATGTTATTTATATATTATTGTTTCACCAATTGAAAAAATACATGTATTTTTCATATTAATTTAGATTTTAAAAATGTATCCTAGTTAGTAAAAATTTCAATTTGTTTTTTCTAGTTGAAGGTAATTAAATGGTAACTCTAAATTGTTATTTTCTATATAATGTGTAAATACTCGTAACCGATTTGTCAATCACTATAGTTTATACTTGAATATGAATACCGACCATACGTTTGAACTTTGGCAGCCAAAAAATATTGGTATTCTTTTTATTATTGTATGAATAATTATGTTTGTAATTCAATACTCGAAAATTGTATACATAAGTAATTGGTAATATTTTATTTTATATTACATTTTTAATAAAGCCAACATGGATAACTATTCTGTTATACGGTTATTAACATACATTTTTTTCATGTAGTGTTTACTTATGACAAATATTTAAAATATGATCTTAAAACCAATCTTGATTTAAAATAAAAAAATTAAATAAAGTATGTTTTATACTACGGGTACAATTTTAAAAACTCAATATCATTTTTAAAAAACTTAAACATGTATCAATAAATAAAAAAATAGTTATGCTATAGCACTCAAATTATAAATTTTTCAACCAAAACAGTAGGGACGGAGCATATTTGACTCAGAAGGCAGAAAGGTCTTTCTCATAATTTGAACTACTACAATCTCTTTCAAATAAATACTTATGTGAAACTATGGATGGTGAAAACTATTATATATAAAAATATTAATCATTTTATAGAAAATAATCATGGTGTTTGATTTTGTTTAGTAAAAAATGTCCACTACAGATTTTTATTATAAAGTATTTTATTAAATTTGAGAGTTTAAGGTCATTTAAATCTGTTAAGATAAATTAAAGCTGAGAATGATGAAAATTTTGACTGATCGCTTGGTTAATGTATAATATTGTAAAACTACAAACTTTTAAAAAATAATGTAATATTAAATTAATTAATTTATATAAATAATAATAAGAAAAAATCACAAGTGAACGTCAGCAAGTAACAGTAATAGAAGAAGTCATGCGACTAGCATACCTCCTTCCACTTAAAAATATATATTAAATTCAAAATTAAAAAGTGTATTTTTCATAAAGTTATGGAATTGCTGTAATTTAAACAGACAAAAAATGTATACATATTTTTGTAGTTTTTCTCAATATTGACGGGGTTACTTTTTTACCTTATAATATGCCTTTTGGATTCGACTTCTGACCTAAGTCATTCTAATTTACAAATACATTTTTCTATATGTGTGGCAAAATAAAAATAGAATTGTTATAACTTGAATATTAAATCAAAATTAAAAAATTGTGATTATCAATTTAAAATAATTGGTAAGTTGTATATTTGTTTGTACTACTTCTTCATTTGATAAAAAAAAAGACAATTTCTATTTTGGTGTTGTAGAGTTTACTAAAAATCTACAGAGTTTATCATTTATTAGTAATGATAAAAATTAAATTCTTCGCAATGAACGAAATTTGAACTAATAAATGTTTAAGATATTATTTAGAAGAAAACTATGAATGTATTAAAAAATAAAAACGCGTTCCAAATATGAGTAAACAATTTTGCGTCGATTTTACATGGAATAACCAGCAACTTGTAAACAAACAATTTCGTTCAAAGTATTTTAATTAAAAATATTATTTTAACAATGCGTTGCTTTTATTGTCTATTACCAAGAATCAAATGGCATTATTTTGCACGTGGCTGTCAATTTAAAATGAAACATGAAAGATAAACGATTACATAACAATATAAAACAGTTATATAATAAACAAAAATGTACTTAAATTGTATAAATTCCACGATTTGTGTCTCACTATATTCTTTAAAACCGGTCTGCAAACCGGGTTTATCACTCTTAAAGTAAATAAAATGAATAAATCAAACTATTATACAGTGCACTGCCCTCGATACAGATCTGATCTCTATAAAGGTACTTTAAATGTTCCATATAAACATTTAAACATTGTATATAATTATTACTACAGCTAAAAAACTTAAGTAAAGAAATTAAACGATACCCACTTCTAAGGGAAACTCGAAAGGTCTCACACGAGATGGAAGTAAGTGGACTTTTTTTCAAATTGTCATAGCTAGCTAGGTTAAAAAATGTATACATTTTTTATTTTAGGCCTAGTTAAGTATATTTTGGCAACGATTTCTGATTAATCAACTCAACACACGAAGAAATTAGGCACGAAACAAATCGTTGTAAATACCCAAAAGAACAATAGCTTTTTTAGCTCCTCGTCGAATAACAATATAGATACAAATATTAAAAAAAAAAATCGTGACTCGTAATAATGTATAATTGTAATTTCTAAATGTATTTTATACAAATTGAGCGAAACAACAATTATTTACACAAAATACCTATTATTTTAGTATAATATATCATGCCATTATAAGTACATATAATGAATACAATAGATGGCATTTATTTATTTCCAAACGATTAACAAACAATTATAGTTTGTTAAATAAAAAAAAAATATTTACACAGCTCATACGGTATAGGGACGTACCAGTGAAAATCTTAAAACAAATAATAAGCGGTTTTTTTTTTATTTTTTTTTTTAAATAAATAAATAGTTATCCTACTCCGTCGAGGGGGGGGGGAGTTCGCTTAATGGCAAGTAGGTAAGAAACATCAGGCTTTGACCGCTCCATAGGAACTTGTGAATAAACAATATTGACAGTCTATGTTGTACTATTGGAGTTTCATTTCGCCAATGCCGTTCAACGAAGGCTTTATAGAACCGTATTTTATTGTGCTCACGCCGTTGGACTGTTCATCCGGGTTTGGGTCGGTGTACTCGCCATGAATACCCGCTCGAATTTCTTGTCTGTGCAGTACATAGAGTATCCTATAAATAAATTTTAAAAAAAACGCCAACGGTAATTAACTAGGTAACTATATATTAATTGTTATGTTGTTTTTAAAGGGCCAACTTTGGAAATACAATCCGAACGTGACCGAATATTTTTTTATATATATATATTTTTCTCTAGTTGTAAAAACGCCAGTTAATTTCTCAAACAAACAGGTTTGTTCGGTAAAATCCGGAATTCAATAAAGAAAAATGGCGAACGGTCTGGTTGGGATACCAGTGTATTGTAAATGTGTAAGTCACGTGTGTGTACATATATAGATGGAAAATAAAACAAACATGCCGAAAAACTGTGTACCCGTTCTTCTTACGATACACCTCGACCTAATCGATTTTAATTTTACCCTGTACGGTATTAATTTTTGTCGAAATTGGAAAAATGGCAAATGAAAAAATTAAAAAGGCCTTGATTTATTTAGTTAGTATATATGTTACCCAGGCCACCTGGTTTCGGGATTTCATTTCTAGTAAAAGAACAATTCGCTTTTGAGGAAGTTATTTGCCAATGATTTGTTACTACTATAATACGGTACACTGCTGTACCCACCACGGTATATAATAATCATGCTGACATGGTGTACTCACGCGTAATTGACGATCGTTATCAGCGTGATGCTGGCGGTAAGCAAGAAGTATGCGCCGGGGAAGTAATCGACGGTTGCTTCGTATATGGCACTGTATAGAGGGCCACAGAAAACTGGTACCAGGTTTTCGCCGATGCTGGTAACCGCGGTAACTTGACCTAATAATGTGACAAGATATATTATTATTTGCGGTTCTTAAACGGCCAAACGAAAATTTGATTTAAAACGGCATTTTAAGTTTTTATTTTTTTTTTTTTGTTATTTTATAAACATTATATTTTTACCGAGCTCTTCCGCTGGAATGATTTTATTCACGATCGACTTTTGTGAAATGATCGCTGGTCCTTGCAAGAAATTTATGGCGGCCGCTGTGTGGACAAAACGAAAGTGTCAAGTAAATAAAATACGACTTGAAAATGTTATGTTATTACAAATAAATATATATATATATATATGTATGTAACAGCAATTAGTAGTTCTTATATGCGCTCTTACCAAAATAATAGACTACTTCGGAACCGGCCAAAGCAAATACTATTTGCGATACGAATTTTCCAATACTGGCAACGATACCTACAAGTGCGTCGTCTGCACCGTATTTCTTGATCACAACTCCCAGAACCAACGACGTTCCTGGAAAATATTATAATTTCATAAATATATATACATATAATATACCCCAATGAAAAATAAAAACTATAATCGTTAGGTTACCAATGAGATTGATGACCATTGAAAACGTCGAGAAAATGCTGAACTCCATTTCGGTCCAGTTGAATTTGATACGGGTGAACAAATAGGAAACACCTTTCTCACCTAAAATTAAAAAGCAAAATTATGATTTTTTTTTTTTATGTTTAGTGTTAATTTTTTCAAACAATACTAAGGTGCAAAGGTACTTAAATAAAACTGAGTATGGAGGAGGGGCTAAAGCAAAGCCTCGTGTAAAGAGAAATTTAAAGGGAGGAGGGTTCAAAACTCTGCCCGAATTTTTTTTCACGCCCACTACTTAGCGCAGTTTTTTAATTTTTATTATTTTTCATATCATAATTATTATAATTATGTACGATAAAAACTCAAAAATGCGATCACTCAAAACCTTTTGAATAAAATATACAAAAACATTACAATTTAAAAAGTAGTTTTTGACTTTATCTATTTTAACTTATCAGTTTTATTAGTTTCAATGGGCTGTAATAATTTTCATCGTTACAAGTGAGTGATTTTGAAGTGTCATATTTCAGACTTAAGAATCTTTTTTAAATGGAAAAATTAAAATTCCCCATATTAATAAAATACAAAATAGGTGGTTCTGTTTGCTAGGCGGGAAACTGTCTAGCGAATTTGCCACGAACCCATTTCATGATGGACCTTTAAGGCCTGTTAAGCTATGATGATGAACATTTTGTTTAGATTGAATCTAGTTTTAGAGATACAGCTCACTGCCAATGTTACCTTATATGAATACTTAAATAGCCATCCGTCAAAATGCAGGGTTCCTTACAAAATTACTATTTTATGTTTACATAAATTACATCACTAGACACAAGAAACTTATGTTTTGGTATTTTTTTTTATACATATTGCTAAGGCAGTCCCATTGAAAGTTCTGCTTTGCAAGCATTGAATTAATCGGTAAATACTTATAAAATTACCAAAAATCTTGTCATAATAACTTAAATCAACAAATTATAACTATCCTCCAAACTAGAGCCAATTGGATGAATATAATGCTATTTTTTTTAAATCAGATCACCATGTTAGTAAATAATGAAATTAATTTTTAAGACAACTAAATGTGATTTTACCTGGGTAATATTTTGTCGTCACATTGCGACAAGTTCAGCCTAATAATTGAAAGAACAATTTTTACTTGTTTGGTAATTATCTTCGGTGGGCGGTCCAAGTAAATTTTGAGCTTTTAATTGTGTTTTTTAATTATTTTTAAAACGGTTAAAATCTCGTTTTTGTTAAAATCTAACCTTACTGGTTATAACCGCTCGCCGAAGATATTGTTCTAAAAATAACTAGACAAATTTAAAAAAAATTGTCTTAAAACTCATACATAATAATATATTTTTACTTGACCACTTTACAAGACGGCGAACATTTGTTAGAATATGATATGTTTAACTTTTTATTTTAAACTATTAAGGCAACAAGAAATAGTCATTATTAACAATTTTAAAAATTTTAATAGGAAAACATCCGTCTTTTTAAAAATTACTTGCCATCAATGTTCAAATTGATCATCTTGTGATATTTATATAGCTTTTATATAAATTATGGCAATAGATACCTAACTTGGTCGACTCCCTTACAAAATAATCATTGACGACAGTTTTTTTCTTCATTTAAAAAAAACAATGTGGGGAGCACCTCCCCTATCACCACCAAGGGAACCACACTGAGTATTGTGGTTTATAACATTAGATCAATACAGTCCATATTTATATACATAAAAACGGTCAAACAATTATTTTGATGGAAGACTAACGTCCATAAAATAGTATTGTTTAAATATTTTCTCTTAAATCTCCTGTAATACAAAATCGTAAGCGGCCATTTTAGTACTCTAATGTTACACATTTTTCAAATAGTTTTTTGGTTTATAAGTTGTAGTCGACGACTCCTTCTCCCTTTTACCGGGTCATCAACTCGTTTGGTACAAGATCAAGAACGAGTTTAACCTCACCAGCCTAACCCTCCAATTCTGAATTCCACCTGAACCCGTCTGATCTTGATACCTATATACGAGTATACATCTTAAGGAAGAAAACTACTATTATTAAAAACACAGTAATTTTTGGTAAATTAACACGCGTTAAGCGTTGTACGAAACATTGCCACAGTTAGCACAGAACAATGACGATTTACAATAATGTTTTATTAAATGTAAAAATACACACAGTACATTATAATTTATATCATAGATTAAATATACAATGTATATATTTAATATATAATAGGGGAACGAACTTAACTCCTAATAAACTATATAAAAAAAACTAAGAAGATAATTTTCTATCTTATATATATTATCTATTTTATTATTATATTTTTGCATCACATTGGTTGTAAATTGCGGCATGTGTATGGGTATTTATAATAATTGTAGCGTTTGTAATCGTCGTAGAACAAATGACCATGAATCTTTTATTTAGCTTAGGCACATTTTAATTACAAATAACTACCCACGACCCATGTATTACATAACGTATAATTCCTGAATAATATTAAGCATAGCCTGTTTTAAAAAATTAATTCTAGCGATAGTGGTTACGTAATACCTACATCAAACTGTAGGTTGTGTGTAAATCGAGGATAACTAAATGTAAAATTGTCTATTACAAGATGAGAATAATTACACCCTATTACACAACAATTATCAATTATTATAAGATGGAAATGATATTACTGGTAATATACTCGAGTATTGCATTGATAACATATTACTATAATAATTTATACTATACAATTTGTATTGTTTTTTTAATTTCAAAATGTCAAAAAATAAAGTCACATGTTAAACAAATATAACATGTGCCTGCGTTATAGTTATCGGTAGTTTTATTCGTTATAGAGTAACAAGTAAGTTTCTACTCTGATTACTAATGAAGTAATCAAAATGTATTTTACATCTCAGGTAAAATGCAGAGCACTGCCCCTTAAAAATGTTTGGTGAGGGAACAAATTTTTTGCTATTTACTACCACTTTTTTGACAAGATAACAAAAAACCTGCACAATTTATGGTTAGCCTAATTATTTTGGCGCAATACACTTCATGGAACTTTCAAGCACTACCTACCCGAATATTGGAACTTTTACACCTTTTTAGTTTTGGTGGGCTCAAATATGTATATTTTATAATAATGAAAACCATTATATTTTTTGAATGATATAGATGTTAATTTTCAATTTTTTCATAATGCATACAAATAAAAACGTTAATGATTTAATCTATAATAACATTTTCATTAATAACTGATCGACAACACTTGACCCTATTGTGAGATAAATCGTACTATATAAAAAAAAACTAACTAATCAATGAATTAATTATCATTTCGTCTTAACCGTCATTTATAAATGGAAGGACAGTATATATGAACGTAATACATTTTAAAAATTATGGTGACCAACTAGCAAGAATTCTAATAAATGCGTTAAAAGGCTAAAGTGTGTATTTTTTTTTTTAATGGTAAGATCCGGGTATTTATGAGCAAATAGAATACCCGTGAGTCGTTTAAAAATATTACCTTGCAATGGTCCCATAATTGTGGTGATCAGTATCGTCAGCACTATGACTTTCAGTCTTCTATGATTTTTTTCTTTTTTGAAACTCACGCGGAACGCTTCGATGATGTGTTTCAGATCGAAAAAGAACTTGATTCGAGACCAATATGTGCCTTTGTTTTCTTTGCTATTTATTACCGGATTTTTGTCTTCAACAAAAGTGTAAGCAAAATATATACTGATAATACAAAGTATTGACGAGATGCCGTACACTCCGTAGAACCCTAATTTCCTGTACAGTATTCCGGAGAATGCCGTTCCAATGGGTAGACTTATGGCCACTGTCAGGTTTACCAAACCCACTCTCATCGTCTTGTCTTTTAGCTGAAATCGAAAACAATTTTATTTTATTTATGGCTCGAGTATATAGTGCACAAATATTTTATCTTGCGTATCAACTTATGCACAACTAATAACTCATGAATAACGGCGCGTACAGCCCACGCCATTAAGCTCGGTCAAGTGCTTTATCCACTCGCTGTAATCCCTTATCGAGTATCAACATTCAACACATTTTTTGTTGTTTCCAAACTGGTTATTCCATATACTGGTCGGCTATCCGTCCGTACCCGGGAGAAGTTTTTCAAACGGCGGAAAAACCAGTTCGGAAACAACATATTTTGCAGTCGGAATAAAGGGACTACAGTATTAAGGATGAGAGCAGTACCGTAGCCAGAAGTTTATTTTGGAAGAAGGGGAACTAGTTCTGAAGGTTCAAGGAGTAGAGAACATTTTAAAACAGCCGACAGTTATTGCGTGCCCACATAAATTTAATAACAATTTATAGGGGAAGAAACGGGGAACGTGCCCCTAATGTGCCCCCCCCCCGGCCACGGTACTGCATGAGTGCAAATATTATGCATCGCAGACTCTAGGCATACGACGAAATGTTATTTTCACATGTTATTAATAGTCCATTAAGAGCGTCACTTTGTTTTTTATTTGCATTTAAAACAAGATTCGGTAAATGCAAATTTTTGAACAACCGTGCGACATCATTGTCGCCAAACCTTATTTTTAGCGTTTCTTAAAGTAATATTTTATCAATGTTCAGCGTGTTTCACTTATTTGTCATCGTTTATTAATAATACTGATATTTGTTATTGTTTTTCAACAATGTTTTTATAATATTATATCGTTTGACTAAATATCGAGAACAAAAGCTTAGTAATGAATTCGTGCCAAGTATCCAATCAGATAAAAATATAATTGATACAAACGTGTGCGTTAAACTCACCGTGCTGATGTCTCCGACATAGGAAAACACTGCCATAAACATGACTACCCAATATCCGGTCAAAGCTATGGGTAGGGACTGCCATAGGCCTGATACTTGCATTGGTAGTTCGTCGAAGAAGTAGACACAAATAAAAAGGCCAATGTTTTTAATAAGTTCTCCATAAAGTGGCAACAGCATACAAGGTCTCCTCCGACGGTTTCGATCACTCCAGGAACCCAGGAATATAACAAATACGGTCGGTATGCTGTTTTGTAAAATGGTCTGCCATATGAGCATGTTGGCCACTAATTTTTGTACTTGAAGTTCACTGGTATCCGACGAGTTGGAAGAGTCTTGGTGATCGAGTGAAGCACACACTCTTTTACTGAGATCTAGGTTCACTCTGCACGCTTTTTGGATGTTCAAATTTTGATTTGTTAAATTTACTAGAACGCAGGCAACTATGTAAGGCAACAGGATAGGCTCGACTGTCAGCCGTTTTAGAAATGGCTTTTTCTGCTCGGCTTCAGTGTTGCTGATTTTTTCTTCTCCTGGTGATGGTTTCAACATAGCTACGTGAGCCTCATCCGATTCATGATTATCGCTCCCCATTTTTTTTTGTGGTATTTCAGAGAATCAACTCAATTAAACTAGAACAAACAAAATAAAATAATAACTTAACTGCATGTATTTAAAAAAAAAAAACGAGTAAACTTTGGATTTGTTTTAACTGTGATTATAAATTAATAATTCTTATGTAACGTAGTAGTTATTTACATTATAAATTATATATCAAACCATTCAATTTGTATGTTTTTTTGTGAATTTTTGACACTAAGAGACACTAAGAGCTTTTCAACAAATTAAGTGTTAATTTTATTTTTCAATGACACCCTACTCGTACTTTATTAATTTATTGTTAAATTATGTAATTATTATTATATGGTAAAAGAATATTATACCGAAAATAATTACCATCTGAAATTTAGGCAGAGGCTAGAGGGTAGGGTATATAATAAAATAATAATTATTATATTAGCTAACCTACACGCATTATTCGCATTCAATTGATAGATATTTTGCCCTTGATTTAAATAATAAGTAATTAAATAATTAAATATTTCAAAAAATTCGTGTAAGCTAAAGTGGAAAATTGTAGTGAAGGGCTTTTTTAAATATTTTATTACTTTATACTATATAACCACAAGTGTTGCTCAGGGTTTCCTGGATATAAATAAATGTTTTTAACTAGTTAAATATAATATGTATATTTTTTTTTTTTTAGTGCAGGCGTGTGACAGAGTGAGATAAGATGTGTATCAACGCACGGTCGCTGGTTTGAATCTGGGTCACTGACGGTTTGTTCTTCCGGGTGGGCAATCTGTCTGGGGGAAGAAATCTCTCTCTGGGGCCAACTTGTTTGGTAGCGGTAGGTCAGCTATAAGCCCAAAAATGCCAAACCTAAACCGTCTAAGCCCCGATCGACGAGAATAACGAACGAAAAGAACTAGTTAAATATTTTTTAAAAAATTAGTTGTTAAGACTGCCATTATTTTTAATAATACGTTTTTATGGTGATAAAACAGTTCAATGCCCAAGCCCGGCAGCTTAACCTATATTCATAATTGTGAACAATATTTGATTATTTTTCCGTTTAATCATGAACTTCGATAGAAAGTATCATAGTTTGAGGTATTATTAGTTACAAATAACTTACTAAGCTTTATTCTTTGACTTAACATTGAATCAAAGATAACAAGGTATATTTTTATCCATATTTGTCTTTTACTGAATCGATTTTTTCATGTTGCTATATGGATACAAAAAATGTTCACAAAGGACACTTTTAAAGGAAAAGACAACAAATTCACGCTTTCCCCTACATTTCTCTTAAATCTAGAAAACAGCCTTAAAAAAAATGACATGTTTTTTAGCTATTTTACAGCTGTCCAATGGTCAGTATCTCTGATCGCGATTACCCACTATTGGTTTTATTAGATTACAACAACGACTAGACTGAATAACCGTTAATGTTCAAACAAATTTTTAATAATATGTAGGTTTATCAATATGTAGGTTATCAAAACATAAATGACGTCACACATTTTTTACGGTCTATGATTTTTTAGCGTCTTGAATGACTCGCCTTTATCTGAACAACTAACCGGCTTTGTGTTCTACTCCAGAACATACTAAGGGTTATTTTTTTTAACTAATTATTATTTTTAATACTTGATGAAATATAAAAACCAATTCTTAGAGTGAAATTTCCATAAGAAGGAAAATAACAATGTTGCTTAATTGTATTATAAAAAATAATGGTATACGAAATAAACATGATGAATTTATGTGCATTAAAATGTTAGTAATTAGTACTCTTTTTTTAACCATGTTATTAAATAAACTAAAAGGTATGTTACCTAAGACTGATACGATAAAACGATTTTTGAAAAGTATACTTTTGCCAAACAAATTGTTATTTTTTTGTACTTAAACTATATTTTGGGATTACAAATAACAACAAATTTAAAATACGACTGATAATTAGTTAAAGGTAGTGTTTTTATTTAACTGCTTTCCTGGAAAATCTTTATTTTTATCTAATTTGTTTTATTTTTTTATACAGGTTCCTGTCATGTTGAACTTTTCTTTCCTCCCAAAAAGATTTTAAAATATGACACTAAGCGAATTTCACAAGAATTTTACATAGCATATCAGTGTAAATAGAAATGAACGAAAATGGATGACAGTTTTACAACAAAATATAAATGTTATGTATGTATATTGTATATTGTAAATATATTGTATTAACCACATCAGTTAATTCCTCTCACCGACTGAATAAGCCGATATAGACCTACTCATGTAGGAATAGTTTGTAATAGTAGTTGCTAAGAGCAGTAAGTTTGTATTTAGTTTCAAATTATTTCATAGCGTTAATATCGTTACAAACTAATCATTATTCTACGTCTAAGATGACAATGTTAGTATAACGTTAACCAAATGATTTATATTTGTGATTATAAATTAATATAAAAAACAAACGCAATGTCGACTATATTGATAACAGGTTTAGACTTAAATGGCAACATATTGTAAGTGAACAACTGACAAAAACAGATTGTGGGATTATAAAGCTCAAGGTACATCACACGAAGTGTCATATTTATTCGTGTTTTAAAACTCTGTTTGGTAAAATTAAAATATTATATTCTTATTTATTTATTTAAACGGGCAAAAATGACTAATTAAAAAGAATATACAATGATCGATGCGTACAATTTTCTAGATAAAATCTTTGTGGTTACTAAACACTATTAAATAGGTTAAATATTACTAAGTAAACATTAATATTAAGTTAATTACAATATAAATATATACAAATACATAACCATAGGTTTTTGGATATTTCTTACATACTAGTTAAACATATTTTTTTATTAAATTATTTAAATATAAATTAAAGTTATCAATAGTTGAACATGAAAATAAATCAATATGATATGTACTAACTAATTCCATACCTCTAATCATAGGAGAATTTTACCATAATTGCTAGACTGAAATGGTACATAAAAAGTATTTTGTTGTCTAGTACTCCGATTAGGAACCAGAAAGCTTAAGCTTGAAAGCAATTCTGGACAATAAACCTGCCCATTAAGTATTTTAAAAATAAAACCGAGATCTAACCTTTTCCTTCGTATCTCCAACGGTTCCAAGTTTAAAAGAGACAATAGTGGCTGATAAGAAGAGTGAGGTTGACGTTGAATGTCGCAGTTAAAAGACAATAATCTCAAAAAACGATTTTGTATCGGACCTACTTTACTAGGAGACCAAACTATAGAGCAGTAATCAAATATTGACCGTACATATGAACATTAAAGTGCTTTTAATGCATACGGATTATTAAAACCTTTGCAGTTTCGATTAATAAAACCAAGCATAGAGGAGGCTTTGTTTTAAATATATAAATAATGTTCATTAAATGATAGAGGTGCATCAGATATTATACCTAGGTCAATATTTTTATAGATACGAGTGAGTTCAGAATCATTTAAATAGTAGTTATAAAGATATGATGCCCGTTTTTTCGAGAACGATAATACTTTGCACTTGGAAATATTTAAATGTAAACTGTTCTGGTTGCACCAATCATAGAGGACGTTTATGTCATTTTGAAGTAACTTAGCATCATTTGGGGTCTTAATAACACGAAATAATTTTAAGTCATCCGCAAAAAGTAACATGTGTGAATTGTTAAAATTCATATCATTAATGAATATGTTAAATAGTAATGGTGCTAAATGAGACCCTTGAGGGACACCCGAACTTACATCATACTGACTTGAACTAAAATTTTTAATTTTAACATATTGTTTCCTACCAGAAAAAAAGGAAACTAACCACGAATGAAAAGGATTGCGTATACCTAAGTGATATAATTTAGAGGCAAGAATATTGTGGTCAATTTGTGGTCAATCATATTATGCTTCCATAATATGTTTACACTACTAACAAAAGTCTAATGATTATACATTCGACTAGTACAAGTTTTGATACGCTATTACCATTGATTGTAATTAATACTGTAATTGGTATTTTTAATTAATCTTATTACACCAGACGGAAGTCCAAAATTTAGTAGCTACCACGCTGAGAGATGATAAACATATAAATTAGTTATCTGGTTCCTGTGTACTATATTATAAATTAATACCTGTATATATTGGACATGTCTATATTTGAATAACAGAAAAAATAAAAAATTATTACGTAATGTACATTTGTAATTTACAAATAAGTTTTAGGCCACAGTATCGAAAATGGAGAGTTATCTCGTTTCAGATTTAAGTAATGTGTGATTATTGGATTGTGTTACTATTAGGGAGATGTGTATGTATATTGTATATATATATATATATATATGTATGTATGTATATCAATCATTAAGAGATATAATTTAGATACTGTTGAATTTTGGAATTAATTGACGTCAATTTACGTTATCCTCTTATTCGAGTTTCGTAAAATACATAATTCTTAACATTTAAACAATAAACGAACACTATTTTTTATTAAATATTATAACAGCCGACATGTTTACGGAAAAAATATTATTCCCGTAACAACAAGTAATAATAATTATTAACATTGTTTTTAATTGTTGAATATTATGGACAGTAGTTGGGCGTATTTGTTACAAACAATCTAAGTTAATATGAAGCGATTAAAATGCCTTGAAAGTTGTAAAATTAAATTAAAAATTCGAAAGTTGGACTTATTTCATGTTAGCCCGTTTTATTTTAATTTTTATACAAATAAAAAGTTGTCGCATAGGATTCAAGAACTACGAGTTCCTTAATATTTTGCTGTACCTACTTAACGGTACAAATATTCGGCTCTTGCGAACATTTTGATATTTTTGAAAAGTGGATAGATGTAAAGCTCGACTTTAGAATGGGATGGAAGTGTATAACCGAGTGAAAAGATGGCTAGACTAACGTCGGAAACCCCCGCTGATCTAAGACAGCCCGCATCAGCGGGGGTTTCCATCTTGGAACACTTGACGTGCAATGCCGCGTATATGCAGCTTGCATTTTATAACAAGCGCAATATTACTACGAGTAACTAATTAATAGATAATAGGTAGTTTTTGTGTAAACAACAAGTAAATGGAAGTTCTTAATAGCAAAATTAAGACAATATGACATTGTGCAGGCACGTGGCATTATGAATATTATGTTTTATTTATAGTAAGTATGTATATATACTATGTATACTATGTATATATACTATGGGTTATTCGAGGTTTACTTGCTATTTTATAACACCCAAATGTTTACAGAAGTAAAAATGATAAACGTACCAAATGTGTCCCGAATTATTGTAGTTTTGACACCATGGAATCACTCAATCAGTAGACACGTTCTGTTGGACCGCCGCTTGCCGGGTTACTGACTAAACACATATAATATTATTACCGTGCATATGCACTAAGCATGCAACGGCGTGGCAACGTCTAACGTTAAACCGGTTTTGGATTATATCACAGTATAATATTGTGTATATTATCAGGCATTCCATATTAAAACGACACAGTCAGTGGTCAAGACCGTTTGTTATGGGAACCCGATTTTAATTGCAATCAAGCGTTTTAGTGTTTCCGACCACAACGCCCTTGTCAGCCGCGTGTCTAGACCTATTTCTATGGATAAGTATATACCTAGTACGGTTCATCTCCTTTTCTGTCCTAGGCTTAAAACATATGCATATTTTGTAATAAACACAAATTCAAATAGGTAACTACTAAATGAAAGCGTTTAAAAAACTGTTGATTCTTTTTTTTTATGTGCTATTATTTTTTTTTTTTTTAATTACTATAGCACATCAAATACCATTGTAGCATTTTTATAATATGTAAGTTCTTATAGTAAGTACCCAGCATTCAAAATAAATTGTATTATTTGCGGAGTAAAACAAGAATTTAGTACTAGAATAAAAATTTCAACAGAAAAACTGTTGATTGACGGAAATTTAGGGGCAGGTATAATCGTAACACTGTAAATTTGATTTAGAATTCAACAAATCATTTTGCTAAATAAATAAATTATGAAAATTTAGAGACGATTAAATACTTTTTGTACAAAAATGTTCTTTCATTTAAATTAAAGTGAGTAGATATCCCACTGTCTCCTATGACGCTTTGCACGGATAAAATATATGAGTGTATTCTTATTTGAACCAGAGGTAAGAATAAAATTTCGGGCAAAAAATCACATTTTACTCTCGAAATAAATAATATACAATCTATTTGTTCAAGAGAGAATAAACAAGGTCAATAAAAGTTTTTATATTTGATAACGTGTCAAATAAACGTTCTTGAAAACATATAATTTGAGATATTATATTATAAATAATCTTATTAATTGCTAATGATTAACGAATCACCATTTTTATCACTATCTTGTATCTTATTACAGTGTTCTCTCTCATTTTTTCTTCTTATCGATATCCTTACATCTATTATATCTCTCAACATTTGATTTTATTTCCCTAAAGAGGACACCACGCACTTACTAAGAGGTTACAACACCATAAAGGTTAATAACACATAAATCTGTTTTTTACAACGTTGTCTATTTAAATAATAACTAAATGCACAAGAGAAATTCTTAGACCAGATTAAAATTCAACGGTAATTTTTTAATCGTTCCTTTTACGGTATGATTAACATTTCTATCTGTATGAAGCACGAACACAATTATTAATGAGTTCATATCTGTTTGCTCTACTTGCTTCTGCTGTTGGATTTGCAGTTTTGGCATTTTAATTTTGTTGTGCATTGCATTTGACCTACATACAATCTTTGCAGCAAATCCAACCTGCTCTTCGCTGAGTAATTTAATTTTAAACACATAGGTTTATGAAAATCATCCGAAGGTTAATGAACCGTCAAGATGGTATAGTCTAGAGTCTCGACTTTGTGACTATGTTTCATATTAACTGTATGGCCATAAAATGATAGCCTTTGACTTCGGCTTCTTTCAGATATAATCAGAATAAATGTACCTATGACATACACCATAAACACAAAACTGTAAGCTTCAAAAATAGACAACATACTATCCAAGCCTTAATAGGAGTGTGCAACCGACATGATCGATGGTTATGGCGGCCTTAAATGATAGGAAAATCACAATGTATGGCTAATGTAATGCTATTCGTTAGTATTTCCTATACCTACTGTGGTACAATTGTTTTTCGTTAGTCGATACTATTTGTGTCTTCCTAAACCCTCTACATTACAATTGGTTTTTTATTTTTAATAAAAACATCATTGAGTATCCATCTGAAATTCCAATGAATTATTTTGGTTAGGTACTTATCCTAGAAATCATTTGAATACTAAAAACAATTTTGGATAATATAAAGAAAATAAATAGCTTATCGAAAATAAACTGAGTGAAGCATATTAATTATTATCACAAAGAAAAAGTTTAAAACTGAGTTAGAAAATAACTAAATAGAAGAATAACTAATATATTATAGTAGAGTCTAAAAAAAAAAAAAGAATTAGAAAGAAGTTCAGAAACAAAAGTGCTAATGCGATAAGTGCTAACAAATGCTTAAGGTTAAGATTCACAAATTAAGACGGACTATGAAATGTGAATACACCACCCCAACTATGCCCCGAACCACAGAGTAAGCTTTTTTTTAATACTTATATAGTCGAATCTATCAAAATATGTAGTGTGAACGCATAATGCGTTCATTATTATATAATAATAACATAATATTATACTACAATACCTATTATAGAAGTTTTAAAATTAATTCAATTAATTGTTTTACTTGAATAATTTGTCATATAGATTCTAGATTATTGTTTAGACGTTTTATTCGAATGACGCACAACTCTGCTGTAAATATATTAATTCGAGTTATTCCAAGGCAAATCGTACGCCAGTTATTCAGATATTCCGGACATTCAGATATTGAGTTATTTTTACAGAAAGTATTGCCTGTCAAAAAAAAAACTATACCTCTGTATTAACCACTTTGTTACCACCACTGTATTTTAATTTCTTACACTCCTCTCCTCGTATATCCACTCTTCGATTTTAAGAGGCAAAAACAATTAAATTTTAGCAGAACTCTGTTCACTATAAATGCATTTCCACTATAACAGAAAGGCATAAATACATTTTTATATTGGTGCAGGTCAGGGAGCGTTTACATGGTATTATACCTATGGAAGATTAAGACAGACCAGTTTCCCTAACTGACTTATCTACGTCGAGACTATCTTGCTGTTTAAACCTGTAGGCGTGCCCGGTCGAGGAACATACAAACAAGTTATTAACAAGGTTTTAAGAATGAAAATAGAATAGTCATAAATCATAATTCATAAACATTAATGGTGCACTTGTTGCCTCAGGCTACTGTGACGACATAGCGATTTATAAATAAGCATATCGGTACTATAACAAGAATTTTAAAGTAAATAACCCAAACCTTGTTGGTTTCTAAGCATAATTTAATATCTCGGACTTACGGTACACTAATAAATAAATCAAGGCCATGGTGTGGCGCAGTATACACCTCAGTTGCCGTGGGGCACCTGAGGTTAGTTTGTGTCCGTTGCTGCTTGATCCTGGATGGGTGACCACCCGGTGTTTTTAGCGGCGACCCATGTCATGTCCATACCTGTCGTGTTCCTCATACACAATCCAACCCAAAAAAACCAACAACACAAATCAACCAACAGCTAATGGCCCAAGTTGCCGAAACTTGAATATAAAAAAAGAAAAAATTAATAAATACATTTTTAGACATTTTTTAACCTAACACAGTTTTTTTGGCAGAGAGTAAACAGGTAATCTAATCGGTGATTAGAACCGAAATTCCTTAAAGATCGTTCACAAATAAGGTCACAAATAAGGTAAAAAAATATATACATATACAATGTACTGAATACTAAGCTGTGTCCAATTGACAACTCACGTGGTGAGCAGTCCACTTTATTTTATTTTATTCAATAAAGCTGTTTGTGTTATATAACCACTGTAAATAATTAAATGTAAACCGTTGTACTTAACTCGTATAAATATTAAGTAAATATATTATTTAGTTCTAAGATAAACATTGTATGTTAAAACATTTTAAATCAAAAAAATATTTATTCTGAAAAAAAGAAAGGAAAAACGTAACCCTAACCTAATCATCGACGACAAAAAAAACCTGTTCCATGTACTCCAAGTGTAGCAGTATGCTACAATTACAGGATTTTTTTTGTCTCTATCTATTTATTTGGAAAAGAAACCGCCATCCTTCTCTCCGGCGTCGGGCTAACGACCTGTACAGGACAGCGAATCCGTCTAGAAACCATAATCTCATGATAGCAGCGTCGGGCCTTAAAGGCCCGTTAAGCTTGATGATGATGATCTTTTTATTAACCATACAATATGAACAATTTACGAAAAATAATTTATTCTTGATATAATTATTATAATTGAAAAATCGTGGTCACCGAATTTTGATAATTAATAATTAATAAATACGTATGAAATGGTTCTTCAAAGTAAGAGAATAAGAATATTCTAATGAAACTTAAATAAAATATTTTGTAATTTATAACCAGTGTACATAAAAAAAAAAATACAAGTACACTGACGTCAACAGGTGAACAACACAGTCTCGAAATAATCGTTTAATTGCCTGGTTTTTCATTTAATTAACTAAGCAATTATTTCTCTCCCATTTCCTGAGGCAAAAAAAACCGCTATTTTCTGGATTATCGAATTGTAATGTACATTGATTTGTCGTGAATATTAAAACCTAATTTGTAAATAAATTGTCTTAAATATAATTTGAATACTTAAGATATTGGAGATACATCTATATAATATTTATTTGCCTACATTAAGTCAAATAAATTATAATCATATATATTTATTTATTGACGTCACATGTTACATATTTTTTACTACCTAATTATAACTTTATATTATTATCTGCACAATATATGTACATGGAAAAATCTGGCCATGGAAAAATCTTGTGCCATGTACGGAACGTTACTATTATAGAATAATAACTATGTTATAGTTATATAATATTCTGAATCTGACAACCTAACAGTTTTCAAATATTGTGCAATAACGTCATTTGGCGTTTAGGGGAAACGAAAATTGCGCAATATGTTGACACGTTTTCTATTGATTTAACATTGTTTATAGCGTACTGCGCAAGGACCACTTTATAAAATATTTTCTTATAGTATAGTGATCTCATTTTGTGGGACGGATTTTGTATACAGAAAATAACTACTAACTGTTCGGTAAAGTTGATTGAACCATTTACTTGACTCGTGTTTTTTTTTAATGATTGCGGATTCGTTCTTCGTTACACTCTTAATGAACGAACGATTTTACAACCAGTATTACTACTATATAATTATATTTTTTGTGTTTTATAGTATAGGAGTTTGAGACGGACGAGTGT